CTCGAATTATTGTGTTACAATAAAAATAAAATCTCGACGGCAATCGGAGCCTATGCGGATGACATGCAAATCATCCGCATGTCATCCGCATAGGCTCCGATTGCCGTCGAGATTTTATTTTATTAAATTTATTAAATAAAAATAGTAATTAGCTCTGTTGAATTAATAATTGTAAACAAAAAAGGGCTATAAGAGCTATTAAACATAACAAAGTTGTCAGTTGATATTAAAAAACTTCATTTAAACAGAATGAGAAATAAATAAGAAGTGATCATTTATTCGCATTTAAACGAAATAATAAATACATAAGAAATACACATTAAAGCGAACGTTTCGGCTGACATTTCGAGCCTTCCTCAGCGCAATACAAATATTATATAAATTGTTTTTGTCAGAGAAAAATCTAGGAATGTTGTAAATTCGATTAATCAATACCGATATCCGGACAATGGTTTTAACAAAATATTATTAGAAATAAGTGAAAACACTAAAAATTTTGGACAAAAACCCGAATCTTCTTATGACAAAGACTGACAAGGGAAATATCACGGTGGCATTAGATAGGGACAAATATATAGAGGAGGTTGAAAACATTTTTAAAGATAGAGATACTTACATTTTGTTAAAAAAAGACCCTACGAATAGTATAGTTTCCAATCTCCGTGATCTCTTAGTGAGATGGAAAAAGAAAGATTTTATATTATTTAATACTTACAAGTATTTATCATGTAGTGATGGTAATCTCCCTAGAGCCTATGGATTACCGAAAGTGCATAAAATCAATTGTCCCTATAGAGTTATCGTCTCGTCTATTGATACACCATTATATAATTTAGCAGTTTTTTTACACAAAATATTAATAAAAAGTATTCCAAAAGCGAGTAGCTATACAGAAAACGGCTTTAAATTGGTGAAAAATTTTCTACATTACAATTAGAAAATAACGCGAGTTTGATTTCATTGGATGTTGTGTCACTCTTTACTAATATACCGATAGATTTAGTATTGGAAGGTATATCAGAGAGATGGCATTTTATCTCTGATAATTGCAGTCTTAATAAATCAGAGTTTCTAAATGGCATTAGTTTAATATTAAACTCCACATTTTTTACTTTTAATAACACTATATATAAACAAACCTATGGAACTCCGATGGGCTCCCCTCTTTCTCCCATAGTCGCTGATATAGTATTACAAGATTTGGAATCTAAAGCTCTAAACCTACTTAACTATTGTTACGTCCTCCGGACGTTCTTTCTCGCAAAAGACGTCTCTCGCACACACCCTCACTCACTCGCGGCTCGCGAAATAAATACACTCTCTTATGAAGAAATGATCCTTTATACAATGATGAAATACAATGACTAATGTACACGCGAAAGAAAGAAGATTGCTCTCTGGTCAAGTCACGTCCGTACGAGATGACAGCTAGACCAAAACTGTCATGGAGCCTGAAAACAACCACCGGGCGGTTGTCAATAAACAACCCCCCTTAACGATGAAGCTCCACGACACAAGGGATGATATTCAGGGGATGAAAGATCAGGGACGTAACACTGCCCCCCTTCTTCAAGATTGTCGTCCCGACAATCAAAAACAGAGGGCTATCCAACGCTGTACAATAACTCTGTATTCCGATGCCGACCTCAGGACTCCGACGAATTTTCTTGTTTTACCCTGGGTTCCTGCCACAGGTTACCAAACAATCCGCCATTCTGGATCCCGTCGCACATCCGTTGGACTATATTCGCCAATCCAAGTCCACAGTACAACTGTATCAATTGTTGATTCCAGGGCACCGACGAGTCTTCCTGCCCTACCCTGGGCTGCTGCCGCAGGTTACCGAGCGACTTCGTCAATTTGGTCCCAATCGACTTTCAAAATTCCTTGAAGATAAGTCCCAGTCTCCCTTCGTCCTCCGGTTCAGACAAGGGGGGGGGGGGTATCTTTCGTGGACCCATCGTCCCTCATGGACTCCCCAAGTTCCTGTCTCGGCATTTGCCCAAAGTCCCACGGGAAAACCACGAATCAAAAACCGCGGGCAAGACAGTCTTCTTAGAGTAGAATAAAGACGGATGAAGATTTTTTCCCTCGAAGACTAAGCTGGGAGATCAATTTTTCCGCCATTCAGGAAACTTTTCTCAGGTCAAAGACAAATTTCTTTCCAAATTGAAGACTCTGTAACGAAAAATAAAATGCGCAGTAACTTATTCTATTTTTTTTTTTAAAACATCCCCCCGAATTTTTAAATAAAAATCGACATTTTCGGGCTCCAATCTACTTAATTATTTTTCTAAACTTCTCTCGAGAAAAGGAGCTAATCTATCTGAATGTACAATTTTCCTCTTATGTCTAGACGATCTTTCTATGCAAAACACCACGTCACTAACAATAAGTTTTTTTACTATCCGGAATGGACCTTCCCAACTTCCTTGTAATTTCGGAGCTTTCCCTTTAACCCTACGAGGATTATAAAACCAAACCTTCTGTCCTACTTCGA